AGATATCTTGGCTCTTTCACCACTCCTCCATGCACTGAGAATGTTATTTGGTTCATTCTTGGCAAGGTAACAAATGACTTCACNNNTTGGCAAGGTAACAAATGACTTCACAAATCGGACGGGTTTGGTAGGATACAGTCAGACAATAAGGGTGCGCTTGAATGCCAATATTTTTCATGAAAAATGTGTTTTTTCCATCCAAATTCCTACTTTAGTAATGTTTGATCGACATTTTTGTTTTCCATAAAAAACATTTTTCATACTTTTGGTCACGTGAGCTTATTTTTCTGAAAATCAAGAAAAATATTTTATTTAGGGGAAAATATTCACTCTCTCTTTCTCTCTCTTATCTATCTCATCTCTCGTCTACCCACCAATAAAAAATGGATAAGTATAATATTTTCTAAATTGAAAATTAAATCGATCAAACAAATTTAATTAATAATTTCAATACAAATTAGTTTTAGACAATTGAATTGCCTATAATTTATTTTATTTCAANAAAATTAAATTAATCAAACACATTTAATTAATAATTTGCAATTGAATTGTTTAAAAAAAAATTTCTTTCCTTATAAATTTCATACTCGCGATCAAAAGCATCCTAAAATTTTTTAACTTTTGAAAGCAGTTTGTATCAAAATAAGAATTCTTTACTAATAAAAAAGAAAAAATAATAACAACTTACTATACTATATTTGATAGCAATTTTTTTCTTAGCCCCTGTTTGGCAATCATTATTTGGAGAAAATAAAGTTTTGATTTTTAAAAGACGTGTGATTAAAAAGTAGGAAAAAAATTGAATTTATATGCAGAATATTTTATTATGTGACTGTGTGGTTAAAAATGAGTATGTACTACGTAGAAAAAAATTTGAAAATAATGTTCGTCTTTTTAAATTATTAAACATGTCAGGGATGTACACATACACAATAATACATAAACATTATTGTGTTTAATTAGTTTTATATTAATTTGATGGGGTAAGTGTAGGTGAGACATATTTCGAGAGAACAAGTAGTGGCTCTGCAAGCTCCACTCGACATGGGATGCAAGAAAAATTCAAGACCCGTACAGCCAATTAATGGACGACACGTGGAGTTGTTCAAGGAAATGCATTGAGGAACACAACATGATACCTATGTTGTCAGTGTAGGAAAATATTGGTTATGGGTGTGCAGTTGAACTGTTACCAGATCTATTTCATGTATACTACAATAACCGTGTCTTTGCTGGTGAATGGTGATGTTCCTCGCATGAGATGTCTGCTAGGATTATTAAATATTCCAAGCAAGTAGATATGTAAGCACGAATTCTATACATAAAGGTTGTCGAAGGATAGACGAATTTTTTAAATAAATTTGGAGTTCTCGTATAGCTAATTTTATATAAAAACTACTAAAATATTTTAGACCTAATTGAGACTGACATAAACAATATGATTTATTTTTATTTTTTTATAACCGTGGATGTCCGGACCAACTTGCGCGCACCTCGACTAATCTCATGGAGCCCTGAAGTTTACGGTCGGGTACTCACCTCAATGACCTTGAGGGGATATAAACAATATAAATTTTAAAACTACGTAAGTAACCAAGAGGATCCTCCAACAAAAGGAAAGGAACCGATTACAAGTTTAGTTTAACTTTATGAATATGCAAGTCACAT